CAGGTAGTGTTATTAGATTCCCTGAAGCAACTGAAAGATTTTTCCTAAACAACTAGAAATTGCCTGAATGTCACTTTCTTGGCAATGGCTCAATTTTGAATGTGCATTCTTGTTTTCCTTGCCTTCCATTACTAGTCGCCATTCATAGTTGAGCTAGTTGCTTCAACATCTTAAAGTTCAGTACAGGTATTGCTCATTTGTATACTTACTATGCTCCTGAAAATATTTGAAACATTAATTTTTTATGTGTTTATTATGTTTCAAACTCACTTAAGGGAACAGGGAACTTGCCATTAAACAGAACTTGCGCTAAAAAATTTCACAAACTGAAGGATTATCTTACATTACTGTGTCACTTCCCTAGCTTTTGGTTTTGTAAGAAAGAATTTTATATAAAAATTGATTTTCTTAAAATTTTGTACCCTTAAAACTTGACATCGTTAGCCGTAATCACATATGATTTGAGCAATTTGTTACTCATACTTCCTTCAGCTGGTTTCTGCTCATTTTTCTATTTCCAGACTTTTCAGTCTGCTTACTTATTACGTTTGGATAAATTGTCCCTTGAGAATTTAGTAATATTTCCTTAGAACTAAGCAGTTTTGTTTGTTTTTTGTTTGGCCATAGTCAAAGATCAAGATAAGTATATTGTAGAAGTCATTTTTGGAAGTGACAGAAGTGTCCAGTTTTTCTGCAAATGCTCTAAGAATTGGTTTATCTTCTTTAAATGAAAGTGATGGTTAAGGATTACATTGAATACAAATATGAAATGAGAATAGGAATTACTAGATATTCTAGAGATGTATTTGATTGAAAATTTTCATTTTACATATTCTCCCAGCATCAAAAATTATAAAGACTATACCAATGTGGAAAATGGATATAACATAATAGTAAAAAGAGTAGTGTTAGTTATTATTACAACTCTATAAAAATTAAAAAGATGTAACAGGAGGAGAACCCATGAACCTATATGTAGCTGATATTGTAGAGAGGTGGGAAAATGAGTGATTTGTTCTTGTTTGAAAATTTGTTGTTGAAGTGTTCTATGAGCAATACAAAGAGTTTTTAAAATAATTTCATTTTACCAGTCAGCTAGTGTAGAAGCATTACTAGATGATCTCTTTTTCTTCCCTTTGCTGGACATATAGGAGGATTATACTCCTCATCCCCTTGAAGTTAGACTTGACCATGTGACTCACTTAAATCAATAAGTTGTGAATGAAAGTAACAAAATGATGTCTAAAGAGAGAGAGAAAACAAACAAACAAGAAGGAGTATACAGGCCCTGGAATTATTATTTAAATATGCAGTAAAATCACTTAAAATAAAAATTGAACCTAACTTAAAATTTGGCAGGATTTGTCATTGAAAACAAAGAACATGTGAAAAGATATTAACATTGTTGCAAGTATGAAAAGAGTATCTAAAAATGTTTCATTTTGATATGATCAAAATATTGGATAATTTTTCCCCCATAAGCTCCTTTATCACAATTAATTTTCTACAATTAAATTTTTACAGAAACTCATTGAAATTTTACACAAGAACTTTACATATTAATTAGAAAATTGTGAAATAATAATTAGAAATTATATCATTTGAAATATTCCTTGAATTTACATGGCTAAAACAAGTCTTATGTATTATGTCTCAGTAAAAGTGGCCCCATGCAGTGTTGGTTTATTACAGTTCTATTAATTTTGGAAATAGTTTATATTAAAAACATAAGCAGATGAATTCATTATAGTACTGAGCAGTACAGTTAGTATATTTTCCTCAAGGTCTGCCATCTATTATAGTAGAGAGTCACATCATTCATTCTTAGCCAGTGAGGTCAAATGTACCAGACTAAGCTTTTCTCGGTTTGAATAGCTGTTACCAATGGGTTTAATACATCTGGATTTTTCTGTCATTATCTAGTGTTATGTAGAACAGTTTCAATTTATAGCTATGACTAAAGGAATGCAAATGCTAATGTTGAAAATGCCACAAA